TTTTTTTTTTTTTTTTAGATCCAGTCGTACGTGGTGCCCCATTGTTTGCATTTCCACCATGCATTTCGGTGGAACATGTGGAGAATTGTATCGTGGGCTGCCATCGACTCAATAGGCGGCGCGAGTCGTCATATCACAGCGAACGAACCTAGCTAACATTTTTTTCGTTAAAAAACGTTTTAATAACGTATGAATTTGGTTCAAAAATCGTTTTAAATAAAACGTTTTAAAAACGTAATTTTGTGAAGTTTTGAAAGCGTTTTTAAAACGTTTTAATATAACGTCTTAAAAACTTCATTATAACGTAAAAATAACCTTGGTTACATCAGCTTTGGTCTTGTATTACGTTTTAAAAACGTTTACAAAGGGTTTATATTTGTAAAACGTTTCAGTATAACGTTTTAAAACGTATTTACGAGGAGTTAAAAGCGTTTTAATAACGTTTTAATTTAACATTCAGAAACGTCATTATAACGTTATTTTGATGTTTTTAAACGTTGTTAAAACATTACAAGATCAAAGTCAATGTAACTAGAGTTATTTTTAACTCTGGTTACATTGACTTTGATCTTGTAACACTTTTAAAGAATGTTTTAAAAACGTTAAAAAACATCAAAATAACGGTACAATTTTTTAGTTGGATCGGTGTTCCAAGACGTTTTCAAAACTTGAACAAACGCTGTACACAGAACCGTGGATATCCTTAGGTCGGCCTCTGGTCACAGGTATGATTCCTACTACATCGTGTTAATTGTGATGCTCCGATATAAAGATACAAAAGAGATTAACAATACAAAATCATTTACACTTACGTAGCGTTATGTTTTTATCCTATAATGTTTAATACTGTACTGTACTTTGCTATACTGTAGTTTAGCAAAAGCTCCATTTCAATATAGGACAAAAGGATAGACAATATCAATATCCAAAAAAATAATAAATCAAAATCAAATTAGAGTCAAGTGCTGACAAGGCTATACTACTTATGTAAGTACAGTTAATAAAAGATTAAGTTCCATACATAGAGGTATAATAAGAATACTAGAGCGCTAACCGCAATGTATTCGATGTTCGAAATACGCAGAACTGTGTGTGTGTACCATCCAAGATGGCTACCATAGATTCAGCCAATCAAATTTCCCCTGAGCACTATCATTTTCAATTGCGCCCTCAGTTTACACAGAAAGTTCAGTACAGCTATTACCTGTATGTTTGAAACTCGAGCGTTGCGGTGTTTGGGTGTAATGTATACGATTTTAATTTTCATTCCCTGGTACTTTATTTTTGAATAAGATGCTTCACTTGGCCTCGTATTGGCTACAATAGTTTAATAATTTGTTATTACCATTACTCATTATCATTAATGAAATAATAGTCAGTCAGAGGGCTTATTAATATGTAATAATATGTATACTAAGCCTGAAGGTGGCGCTTTACTACGACGGCCATCTTGGATGGTACACATACATAACTCTGCATTGCTGCGCCATCTTGTCAGCACTCTAGTTGTTTAATAGCTCTATGGTTCCATATCATCTACTCAGTATTTGGTAAGTTCATTTGATTTTAAAAATGTCAAACAAATATCAAAGATAAACTAGAGGCCCAGTGTACAAAATCTCCATAGTGCACACTTAAAAATCTGAGAAAAGCAGATGGCTACACTGTCCCTGGATTAAGCCTTGACAGAGGATTCATAGCTATTCACAATGGAACCACTTGCGGAGTAGAAAGTTGTATCAGAACCAATAAAGAGGATATTTAACAATTCAAACGCATTCACATAATATTGCCGTCGTCCTCATCGTTGTCAGCCCTTCTGACATCTACATCTTCTTCATTAAAAACTAGCTTAAGTTTCTGTAAAAAGTGAACACAAAAATGTGTCTATTTAATTTACATTAGGCATACTTTGCTTTTTATAATTAATATTTGTACATGAAGTAAATAATGAATAAATAAATAATAATAATAATAATTAATAATAATACAGTAATAATGAAAAGTGTGGAGAATGCTGCTATTTTACTTACAAGGCCTAGCTTCTTGATTATGAATGATTAGGCATATGTTGTACAAAAATTTCTCTCAATGCAATAATTCTTCAACTTTGATTTATTGTTTAGATTACAATTTACAAATAGAAGTTTACGAAGTCATAGGCCTAGAGGCCTAGATACAAATAGAAAACTTTCATGTTATTAATATTTTTATCATTCATTTACAGGCGAAATTAACATATTATCGCCGACGATTCACAAACCTACTCTGTCTGCTCAACCAACCTTTCTCCTCTGCAGTGTTGACTGCCTCATGCTATATAGAGTAGGCTGCTAGCAACTAGGTATAGGCCTAGATGATAGACTTTCAAAACAAAAAGACAATCGTAACGGAAAAAAAATAAAGAATCGTCCTCACTTTATCTTCTCGAAATGATACAGCACGTCACTGATTAATTAATTCCAAAGTTGAATATGATTATACAGTATATGATATTTACAATGATATGTTAAAATCCCTAATTGAATTGTCCTCATGAACAGAATAATGAAAGAAAGTTTATGCAGCATCAGTGTTTTATAAAATGTTATAAAGCTATACGCGCGCACGCTGTTTGGTGACAACATGGCGCCCATGCGCCAAGTTGGCCAAACTCTCTCTATCTACGGCTCTGGAATACGGGCTTTCTCTGTCCAGAATACGGGATGTGTTGTAATTTCGTATACGTTGACTCAACACAGATACTGGACTCACGTACGTCTAGTCTCTACGATACCTGTTTAATGAGTGTCTCAGCATATCTACATACTGTCGTACAATGATAATATAGAGGGCTCACTACATCCCCCGTTCTTTAAGTCAGATTATTACTG